AATATGTTCTGTGAAAAACTGATCCACCTTCCCCCTGCCTGCCTGTTGCCCTCCCAACACACATACATACAACACATGCACACACATCACACATACAATACACACATGCACACACACGATACACACATGCACACATCACACATGATTCACACATGCACACGCATCACACATACAATACATACATGCACACACATAACACATGCGATTCACACATGCACACACGTCACAATACGATTCACACATGCACACACATCACACATAATGACACACACATCGCACATACGACTCACACATGCACACACACCACAATACGATACACACATGCACACATGTCACACGATTCACACATGCACACACATCACACATACGACTCACACATGCACACACGTCACACACACGATACACACACGTCACACACACGATACACACATGCGCACACATGATACACACATGCACACACGTCACAATACGATTCACACATGCACACACCACACATACGATACACACATGCACACACATCACACATATGACTCAAACATGCACACACATCACACACACGATACACACATACACACACCACACATGAGACTCACACATGCACACACGTCACACATACGATTCACACAGGCACACACGTCACATGCAATACACACAATCACACACGTCACAATACGATTCACACATGCACACACGTCACACATACGATACACACATGCACACATACGATTCACACATGCACACATGCGACTCACACATGCACACACATCACACATATGATACACCCATGCACACACATCACACATACGATACACACATGCACACACGTCACACATACGATACACACATGCGCACATCACACGATTCACACATGCGCACACGTCACAGAAAGGACCCACACATGCACACACGTCACACATACGATTCACACATGCACGCACATCACACATACGATACACACATGCACACATACGATTCACACATGCACACACACCATACATGGGATTCACACATGCACACACATCACACATACGACTCACACATGCACACATACCACACATGGGATTCACACATGCACACACATCACACATACGACTCACACATGCACACACATCACACATATGACTCACACATGCACACATATCACACACATATATTACACACACACACTGCCTATGCTTATACACCATATATGCATATATGCATCATATACACTCCCCTCATACACACACACACACCCTCCCACATCATGAGGAGAACTAAAGAATTTTGTAAAATCCTTTGACCAGAACTGTCAATAAGTCTTTCCTTTATTTGAAAGAGAGAACCAAGGGGTGGAATTTTCCAAAACTTGACAGGCCTACAAATCACCTGGGAACTCTATTAGGAGCACAGATTTCTGGCTTCACCCCACCCCCCCAAGGGTTCTGACTCAGCAGAGGTGCAGGTTTGGTGTAAGGCTAAGACAGGTTAGTAAGCACTCAGGTGACTCTGACAGAGGACTTGGGAAACCTCACCTAGAGAGACACTGTGTTCAAGGGTGATGGGGCACATTTTGGTTCTTCTGAAGAGCAGGAAATAAACTCACCTCATCCCTCTCAGCAGGACAGGGGCTGGGGCTGGGGGCTTGCAGACTCAGCGACTTAAATAAAGACGATCTCCTCTCGGCATTGCCTTTTAGGATGGTCCCAACCATCTGTGCGGAAAGGTACATCCCCTGCCCAGCTAGGCGTGTAATGGCGGGGGGGAGGGGGACTGAAGGGACAGAACAGTGAGGGAAAGGAGCCCCATCCCTCCAGGGCTTCTGTGGAGAAGAGTGTGGCCGGTGGGCAGCAGGACCGAACAGCCAGGGGTACTTCTCCATTGACGCCCCAAGAGACCCAGGAAGACTGAAGCTCCTCTGGGGGCACCTGGGTGGCTCAGTAGGTGAAGTGTCTGACTCGGTGTCTGCTCAGGTCTTGATCTCAGGGTTGGGAGTTCAAGCTCCACACTGAGCACACTGAGTGTGGAGTCTACTTTAAAAAAAGAAGACTGGGGCGCCTGGGTGGCTCAGTCGTTAAGTGTCTGCCTTCGGCTCAGGTCATGATCCCAGGGTCCTGGGATCAAGCCCCACATCGGGCTTCCTGCTCGGCGGGAAGCCTGCTTCTCCCTCTCCCACTGCTTGTGTTCCTGCTCTCGCTATCTCTCTCTGTCAAATAAATAAATAAAATCTTTAAAAAAAAAAAGAAGAAGAAGAAGAAGACTGAAGTTCCTCTGACCCCTGCCTGATAGGAAGAGTTTCACTTTTTTTTTTCAAGGTTTTATTTGAGAGAGAAAGAGACAGAGGTAGTGAAAGAGAGCATGAGCAGGGAGGAGAGGGAGAAGGAGACTGCCACAGAGCAGGGAGCCTGGTGCTGGACTAGATCCCAGGACCCCAGGATCATGACCTGAGCCAAAGGCAGATACTTAACCGACTGAGCTACCCAGGCGCCCCAGAGTCTCACTTTTGAAAACAGAACGACACCATGGGTGCCAAGCTACCTGGCCTTTGTGCAAATTAGTAAAAGACAGCCCTCCTCATGACACTTTACTTCAGTCTGTCACAAACTGTCACGATACTTTGAGAAAGCAAGCACTTGACTACCATCTACTGGAAAACTTTCCTGAGAAGGCGCTCTGAGACATACTGCAGGCTGCATGCGGCCGCCTTCCTTACACGCAGGCGCCTGTGAAACTTACAGATGAGAAACTGAGCAGAGAGAAGATGAGTGACTTGACTAGGGTAACACAGAGGTGGATTCAAACCCAGCCGGTCTGACTCCAGAGCCCAGGCTCTGCACCAAGAGGCCACTGTTTTTGTTGGAAATGTTTGTTACCCCCACATCTCCCTGACACACCCTCGACTATTATCTTCAAAACATCAAGTTATAAATTCCAAACCTCCCCTCTTCCTATGATGCCTTCTTTGATCTCACCAAGTGCAATTGGCTTCTTCATTTCACGCTCCTCTCTCCTGGACTTTATCTGGCCCTCTATGGAAGCCTTATTTTTCTGAATGAATTGGATATGTTTACAGGGTCTCTGCACCCTGTGAGTGTGAGCAAATTCTTCAAGGGCTGCTGGGGAGACTGCAGAACACCAGCTCTGTGCCCCCAGAACCTGGCACTGGGCCCAGCACAGAGAAGCAGCTTGGTAATGATGGATGAAAGGAATGGAAATGAATTCACACATGAGACGATTGGACCCACTGCCTCCCCTCCCCCGCCCGCCCCCCGGGACCCTTCCAGCTCTGACTTTCATGAGTCCATGACTCAGAGTTTGATTCTAAGCCTCTGGCAACTTTAAGGGGCAGAAACCACAGTGGTGCAGAACAGAGGGAGACAAGACGAAGAATAATTGCCAGGAAATGGTAACCTTGTCTGCTCAGAAGATGTCAGGGTGATTGGATGGGAATTGGTCTAGAAATCGTGGAGCTCCTTGGAAGGCTTATGTGAACCTATGAAATACCACTGAATGCCCGAGGGCACCGCAGACAGAGTGGTTGCAGAAACTGTCAAGGTCATTGCCAACTTTGAAATCCCTCAGATGCTCCTACATTAATAAGTTTTCAGGGAAGGCAGAAAAAAAAAAAAGCAGTAAGCTCTCATTCTGGAGTCAGAGAACATTAATAACGCTCTCATTAGGAAAAGGTCAGGGGCTTTCTGCCAATTTCAGGCAAGTGTCCAAGGACATCCTGTGTGTGCAGAACTTCTGGAGGGAAGTGTGAGAAACTAATGAGCTCAGGGCAGTAAGAGTACAGCTAGTGAGGCCCCTGGTTCCATCCTTTTCCCTTCACTTAGCAGAATGTAACCAAGCTGCCACCGTGGACTGGGCTCAGCCACGAGGGAAGAACAGGATTCAGTTGGATCTCAAGGGGCCAGTGGCGTGTCTCACTAGGACTTACTCAGATCTTACTGGGACTGAGCACTACTAATCTGGGGCAGCTGATAGACTAGCATTTGGTGTTGAGTTAATTTTTTATAATTCTGTTCAATTCACTTGTCATTTGAAGAAAGAATTCCCAAAGTATCCAAAAGATTCACAAAGTTGATCTTGCAGCTTCATTAATTCATCCAATACATTTTTATTGAACAATGTATTGATTTTAGTTATCATGTGCACCTGGACCAGCTCAACAGCACCTAACCTTGTTCTATTCCTCTTCCAGACTCTTGGCCTTGGCAGGTCGGCCTCACCCCACTTGGAGTGAGCTCCCAGGGCCTTTCTAGCACAGGGCCAGAGGTCCTGATGCAATTTATTGGTGGCCTCTGTCCTCCCTGGACTGGGACCCAAGAATCAAAAGGGATTGTGCCACTTAGAACCCAGACAAGCAAACACTCAGCTGCTGCCTGGGGCCAAGGGGCTGCTTCCCCACATGACAGAACTAGGTTGGGGGGGACACACACACATGAGGGACAGAAATATCTTCAGACTCTTTGTTATTGTTTAAGGAACTGTCAGTCCAGACTCCATATCTTCCTCAGAATAGAGCACATAGATAAGTAACACTTGTGGTTCCTTCTGAAAAAATGGGAAAAATACACAAAGGAGATAGCAAAAATCCCCAGTGATTCATCATCAAGAGATAACCACTGGGCACCTGGGTGGGGCTCAGTCGGCTAAGTGTCTGACTCTTGATTTCGGCTCAGGTCATGATCTCTGGGTTGTGGGATTGAGCCCCTCATTGGGCTCTGTGCTCAGCATAGTCAGCTTGGGATTCTCTCCCTCTGCCCCCGTCTCTTTCTCTCTAGACAAATTTAAAAAAGAAAAGAAAAAAAGAGAACTACTTTTAATGTTTTGATGTTTACCATTTCAGTTTTTAGAAAAATTCATATACAGAGACATACATCTCTTTTTACAAAACTAGGTTGTTATGCAATACTCTTCTATGAACCACTTTCAAAACATAATTTACTGTGGCTCTTTCCCCTTTCTCCTATTTTATAATACTTCCTAGTACAGATGTAACAGTTTATTTAACTTACCTCTCTGTCAGTCATTCACGATTTTTTTTCCTATTATGCAGAAGGTGAAATTTTAAAGGAGATGATGGACATTTCCTGCTAGCTCATTATGTAGCCCTCTCCCCTGGCTTTCTCTTCTGCCTTTCCACCACGAACACGTCAGCCAAACCAGCATCCGGAGTCGGCCCTGGCCCCTCACTGCTGGTCACCCCCACGTCTAATCCGTCAGCAAGTCCTCTGTCCTCCATGGACTGGGACCCAAGAATCAAAAGGAATTGTGCCACTTAGAACCCAGACAAGCAAGAGGTGGCTTCCTCTGTGGTCCCTCAGCCCTAGCTCAGACGTTCTCTGGGGACCTAGCCTCCTGGAGTTGCCCCCCCCCAAAACCTCCTAGTCTCCATTCTGACTCATCTTGGAACGGGGATGATGTTAAGTTTACCCACCTACCGTCCCTGAGGGCAGAGAGAGAAGCCAAAGTCTCCTAGTCTTGGCAGAGGAGGACAACTGTGACTAAGGGGATTGCTGTACCTGTGTTTTAAGGGGACAGGGGAGAAATGGGTAACTGGGGGGTCCATGTGAAAGGACCTCTTGTACCACTTGGGTGCGAGCTGGGAGTCTGGCGGCCAGGGTGCTGGCTGGGCTGTTCTGATCCTGGAGGCTCAGCCCCTGGCCACCCACCCACGGCCCTTCCAGGTCCTTCCCCACCCACAGCTCTCTCACAGGTCTTCTGGCAGGAGGTATGGGGCCCAGGCCCTCACCGGGGAACTTCAGAACAGGATGCTGAGAGCTGAATTCTGGGAAGATGAGGGCCCCCAGGCCAGGAAAGACACCGGCAAAGGCATATGGATCCATGGAGGGTTTTGTAATCGTGTAACTTTGGCTCGAGATCCTTCTTTAGTCCTGAAATGAGACACTGAGCTTTCCTTCTAATCGGGGTCAGCTCAGAATTGCCAACCTTAGAAAGACCTGAAAGGCCTTTTATTCCAGCTTCTCTGTTCTCTGCTTCAGGTTGTCTCTCCGGAGCCTGGCAAACAGAGGCGGCTCCTTCCCGGGGAGTTTTTGCAGGGATCTTTAGAAAACGCTTCTCCCCAGGAGAAGCGTTTTCTTTCCACATCCATGCCTCTGCTCTATGCCCTTCTCCGCCTTGTCCACCAGCGCAAAGCTCTTATTTGTCCTCCTTCAAAGTCCAGCCAGAGGCCACCTCCTCCTCCTTGTATCTCGCAGACTGAGCGGATTCCGTTTCTCTGGATTCTCTCGCAGTGCCCCGAGCTTCTCGTTATCATTTGCAGATGTTGGTTTACTTGCCTGTATTCTGAGCCCCTTCTCCACCCACCTCCTGCCCCCCCTCCTGCCATCATGGGCTCCTGAGGGTGGTACCCTGGCCGATGCATCTCTCTCTCACCAGTGCCTGGCCCAGGGCTTGGCTAAGAGAGGAGGCTTGAATGAATGAGAAGGGAAGAAAGGAGGGTCTCAGGTCACTTTCAACAGCCCTAGCTCCTGCACTGCTCGGTTATCCCAGGTCCCTGATCTGTCTAAGCCCTCCGCTAGCCTGGCTCCTACCAGCTCCTCACAGCAGGGTCTGTGAGGATTTGGTTTAGAGTGGGGACCTGCGCCTTGGTGGGCAAATGAGGAAGCTGAGATCCCAAGAGAAGTGACTTGCCCAAGGTCACCTCAGAGCCCCCTGTGAGAGAACAGGAACTGTTTCCTTCCTTCCTCACATTCCCTTCCTCAGCCCCTCCCGCCTGACTCATTTCCTCGGGACTGCAAGGGCAGAGCTGGGACTTTCGATGGGATCTGAGGGATTTGGGAGGCCTGGGAGTAGTTCCGGGCAGTGAAGCGTGTGGGTGGAGCGCATGCAGACTCTCTGGTGTGTGCGGGGTGCGGGGAGCGGGATTATGGCTCCCAGAGGACCTGGAAGCAGGTTTGGCACGGAGATATGTCTCCTTTCCATTCCCTACTCCTGAAAAGGGGATCCCAGGTTGTCCCCCAGTGTCCAGGTAGCTCCAGCCACATCAGCAGAGTCAACAGGATGTGCTGTACCATGGCAGATAATCAGTAAGCATCTATTGAAATCGCTGTGTGACCTTAGGTAAGTTATTCAATTTCTCCGGGTCTCAGGGTTTGGGTCTAGAGAATTAGAAGCTTAAAGTCCTATCCTTAGGAGTGAGGGACAGGGACAGATTGTTGTCTCCCAAATTCCACAGGACTGCCACAAGAAAGAGGGATCATATGGATTCCTGTAGCCCAACGAGCAGGATGAAGATGGGTGAAGGAAGGTGGAGGAGTGGGTATAGATTTGGGGTCAATGAAAATGCTGGGCAATGCACTGAGCATAGAGCAGCTCTAGAATGCAAGGGGCTGCCTTAGGAGACAGCTGTCATTGGAGGTAGGCAAGGAGAGACCAGGTGGTCTCATTCTGGGGAATGATGTAGAGATGGTGGGATTGGACTGAATGAGATGTGAAGTCCAACTCAGACAGCTATGATTTCAGTTACCTTCAAAGTCCCTTTGTGCCCAGCATGGTCTTTTGCCATGTTAACAGGTAATGGGGACAGCTCAGCGTGGGAGCTGGGAGACCTGAGGTTAGCCTTCCCTGCATGGCTAACTGTGGTGAGGCCTTGGGTAAGTGGCTCCCTCCCTGGGCTACTGTTCCCTGATCTTTGAAAGGGGAATAATCATCTCTGTCCTGTGGATCTTTCTAAGAACATGGTTATTAAAAAATACTTATAAACTAGGGAATTCCCTACAAATATCGAAGGCTAGCTTTTAAAACAACTTTGTGTGTGTTTTTTCAAAAGTGATACATCTTTATCATAGCAAATATGGAAAATACAGAGCCAAGAAGTGAGTTTAGATGAGGCGTAATTCCACCAGACAGAGACATCCATTGTTAGCAACCTGGCATATCTTCTTACTCACTTCTCTACACATACACACATTTATATAATTTTATCTACCTATCTATCTATCGATCTATCTATCTATCTATCTATCTATCTATCTATCTATCTGCCTATGTAGGCTTCATGCCCAATGTGGGGCTCGAACTCACGACCCTGAGATCAAGAATCGTATGCTCCACCAACTGAGCCAGCCAGGTGCCCTTACATTTATATGATTTTATTTATTTACTTGAGAGAGAGAGAGAGCAGAAGGGAGAGAGAGAGAGAATCTGAAGCAGACTCTGTGCTGAGCACAGAGCCCCACGTGGGGCTCGATCCCACAACCACAAGATCATGACCTGAGCTTAACCGACTGAGCCACCTAGGCGCCTCTATGTTTATATAATTTTAAGCCAAATATTGTGTCAAATAATATATACTATTTTGTGCCCTACTTTTTTTTCTACTTAAGATATTTATATATATGTATGGACGTTGCCTCATATCTTTAAATGTTCTTCTGTAGGTTTAGCCTTAAAAAACCCCTTTGTACTGAAGTTTAATATAGATACAGAAAAGCACATGTATCAAAGGGATCAGCTCACTGAATGTCACAACTCTTCTGTGTACCCAGCACCCAGATCAATAGGACAGGATATTACTGTCCTGTCCACCCCCGGAGGGTGCCCTCAGGTCCCCTCCCCGTCACTACCCACTCCCTAGCTGGGGTTGCAGCTTCATTTACAATTTTTATTTTGAAATCATTATAGGACATTGGGTACGTATTGCCAAACTGCTCTTCAGGAAATTTGTGCCGCAGCTCTCTCTCTCGAGCCGGGCGTGAGACAGCCTATCATCCCACCCTGTCCTCTAAGGAGACACCACCTTCTAGAAACAGAACAACAGGGCAAATGGGATCCCACAGTGTCTTCGTTTGCATATTCTTTTATTACTAAGGGCAATTTTGAGGGGGCAGACGGGAGGATTCTGTGCTCCTAAGTCCTTCCCTCCTTCCCCGTGTCTTCACGCTTAGCAGTTCTTGCCAGGCCAGGGGACCAGGCCCAGAGTTTACTCTCTTCTCTGCCACCGCGTGTATGGCCCTGGACAAACTACATACCTCCTCTCTGACCCTCGGCTTTCTCTTTTGTAAAAGGAGCTAACAATGCCATCCTAGCAACTCACGAGCTTTTTGTTAAGATCAAAATTGCACGGACATGCAATTGCTCTGAAACTTCACACGCTGAAGACGGAAGATAGGCATTACTGATTTTGTTGTTACTTTTAGTTCCTTTTCCTCTGTAATTTCAGGCTGCAGGTCACATTAATTGGTCTTATCAGTGCCCCCGGCTGGGTGGCAATGACATAATGACCCAAGCCCCCCTGGGGTCCCCGCTCGGCTAATGACACAGAGAGTGAAGGTTTATGTACCAGCGCGGTACCAGTACTGCCCAGTCAAACCCAACAGGCCTTGATCCTGGGATATGCGCCCTGAATCTTGGCCTTGGGCAGTGGAGGAAGTCGCTGGTGCTCCCTGAGGCCCCCAGTGTGCCAGGCCATGTGAGGGGGGCTCTGAGGGGTTGGGATCCCCACTGTCTGGTGAGGGACCCGGAGCTCCAGCGTCTCGGCTGGGGTGCTGCATCTCCAAAGGGGCAGGAGCAGCTGGGATGCACAGTGCCCCAGCTCGCCCTGCCTCCCTGATCCCAGAGGCTAAATACTCCCCTGCTGACCTACCTTAGTGCCTGCGTATCCACACACGGCCGGACATTTTTAGTTAAATCTCTGAGGTCCTTGTTAAAGTGCCACGGACATGGGCATGGGACCTGGGACCATGCCGTAGCCTCATCCACAAGTGGCGACGGCCCACGAGATGTCCTTGGGTACGCCTGACACTGAACAAGGCCCCGGGATGGGCAGGGAGGAGGCCTGGACAGGAAAGTCAGAGGACCTGGGTTCAAATCCAGGCCTACTCGACTGGGCAGCTTTGAGCAGGTTACCTAAGAAGGGGAAGAATGAAGGCTTGCGCCCACAGGGCCTTTCTCTGAGGGGGCTTCCCAAACCCGGAGTAACTGCCCTGGGCCAGTAGAACAACCAAGCAGGGGTGACTGGAAGTTGCTCCCGACTGGCCTTGCTCAGGTCGGTGGATTGGGCTGGAGCCCAGATCAGAGCAGGTGGATCCCTGGCCGCAGGACCTCAAGTCCCTTCCAAGGTCCCCACCAAACCCCAGTCTCGGCTACTGTGAGGAAGAGCCAAGGAGGCTGACACTCTAGGATTCTCTGTTTCTGATTCTGTATGGCTAGCATGTTTCCCATCTATGCACTTAGTTTATTTATCAGCTCCAGAGTCAGACAGACTTGCTTTTAAAATCTGAAATCTGGGGGTACCTGGCTTGCTCAGTTGGTGGAGCATGCAACTCGTGATCTCGGGGTCATGAGTTCAAAGCCCCATATCATCGGGCGTAGAGCTTCCTAAAAAAAAAAAAAAAAATCTGAAATCTGTCACTTACCTTCTGTGTGACCTTGGGCTGATCAGGTAATCTCTCCGAGCCTCAGTTTTCTCAGCTGTCAAACATCTTTCTGCATAGTGAGGATAAAGTAAGTCAGTATATAAGCAGCAACTATTCGGAGAATTAAAAAAAATCACCTGAATAAATGTTAGTTTTTAAAGATTGGAAGTTATTTTCCCAGAGGGGAAGATGTGAAGGTAATGCAGTCCTTGGTGATGGCCAACAACCACCGCTGACGCAGACTTCTGCTTGTCCGAGCTCCCCCTCTGCTCTCTCCTCATGGGGATGCCTCAACAGCCCCCCGCGCCCCTGTGCCCCAGGCCTGGGACTAGAGCAGCAACACCAGGAACAGGGGTGTAAGAAAAGGGGGCCAATGGGCGGGGAAAGGCAAGGGGCGTGCTGTTGGCCTGGCCCTCTGGTGGGGACGGCGCTGACAGGTCAGACACAGGGCTTCTGCTCCTGGCTCCACCAGCACATCCATGCTTGCAAGGACCCCCGGTGGCCCCTCCGTCAGATGGGAACTCAAGCTCCAGCCCCGCTTAGGTAGCCATTTGCCACCTTCTACTATAGTCCACAGGAGCCGCCAGGGACAGGGCTGGGGTTGGAACACCCCTGGGTGCCCAGCGGCCAGGGCTGTGGCGTCTTTCTGACAACTGCAGGGCTTCCGAGTGTGGGGGGGGTGGCCCCTGAGCCCTGAGGCCTGCACGCTCATCCCCTGGGCCGCCCGAATCCTTTGAGTCACTCTCTCAGCATCCTGTTGCCTTTGTCCCAGGGTTTTATTATTCTTGTCACCTCTCACCTGCATCTCCTAGAAAATGGGCTTCCCACCAAATGATTTGGCTCCCTGCCAGGGCTAAGCAAGCCCTTCGTGCAGGTCTCTCAGCGAAGTAATTACCTTTGTCCTTTTTTTCTTTTCCTTTTCCTTTTTCTTTTCTTTTCTTTTTGTTTTTGAAGTGGAATCACTCTACGTGGAGTGCGAAGAGGACAGAACTGGGAATAGGGCTTCTGAGTACAAGTCCCAGGTTCTGCCACCTACGCTCTGGGCTTCATTTTCCCCATCTGTGAAACGGGTTAGGTGGCAAGCCCTGCCCTGCTTTCCTCATGGGAAGGTTGTGAAGAGCAAACGAGGTACGGGTGTGAAAGGTAGGCTCTGTGTAAACTCTGAAATGTTGCCCAAACCTGATTATGCAGTAGAATCATCTGGATTTGTTTGTTTTTAACACCTGAAAACTATCACCACCACCATTCATGCACGCGCGCACACACACACACACACACGTTAGAAACTTAGGTAACATTGAAGTGAAATTCTGGTGCATTTGGAAAAAATGAGATTTCTGGGTCTTTCTGGTGAAGTTTTGTGCCGTGTGCCATGCTGCAAGCATGATGGGGCAGGCGCGACAGCCTTCTTTAGTCTTTCTCATGGGGGTTCACAGACCCTCTGTTAGAAGGAGCCCTTGATCTTGGAGGCTATGTTACAGCTGGGGGAGCAGGCTCAGAGGAGGGGGAACTCGCCCTTCGATTGCCAGTAGGGCTGTTGTGGGGGATGGGTGAAGCAGAGCACAGAACTAGTCACCCTGGGGAGAGTCAGAGCAGGGGTGGTTCCCTGTCAAGGAGCTGGAGAGGAGGAGGGGGACACTCACAGGGGACTCCTTCCCCATCCCAGCTTCAGGCAGAAGCACACAGCTGCCACCCGAGGGAGAGAGGAGGGGAGAAGGAAGGGAGGTTCCTACTGCAGGGGAACTGGAAGTCTCAAGAGCTGGTTTCGGCCATGAGCTTGCTGTGCAGCCTTGGGAAAATCACTTAACCTCTCTGGGCCTCCACTTCACGGTCAGTAAAATGGATGCAACAGACACATTTATTGATTTTCAGGAATGTATGGACAAGCAACTATGTGCCAGCCTGGGTGCCAGGGACCCTTTGGGAAGAAAGGTAGGCACAGTTCTTGCCCTCAGTGTAAAGTGTAAGCTGGAAAAATAAACAGAAAATAAATGTGATCACTGTCCCTCTGGAGGGAAGGTGAGGTACCGGGTTGGCGCAGAGGAGGAACATCTAACCTCACCTGGGGAGGGACGTGGCGAGGTGGGGGCATGGACGCTGAGATCAGAAGGGTAAGTGGGAGGTAATCAGGCTGGTGGGTGTGAGGACAGGGAAGCGTTTATTGCCCCCTCCCCCACTCCTTTGAGGGTGATCTTGTCTTTCAAACATGTTAGCGAAGGGAAGTTGTGTGTAGCCACTGCCGAGAGGTCTGCTCAGAGCCGGAGAGAACACTCCCTGCGAGCACCCATCCTGGTCCCTACCCACTTCTCACATGTCCACACATGACGCTGGATTTAGCTGGTGGGTGGGGCAAGTCAAGGGAATTACAGGGTTTGTGTCTGCGTGTGGGGAGAGTATTTTTAAAGCTTGTGCTAAGTATGACTTTGCTCACAGTCTGTGGGAAGAAACAAAAAGCTCCGCCTTTTCCAGGGTCTGCGCGGGGTGGGGGTGGGGGGCTGCATTCCAGAGCAGCGTCCTTCTCATGGCCCCCCGCCTGTGACTGGCCTCACCCCAGCCCTGGTGCCCCTCACGGAAGTCCCGCTGCCTGGAGGAAAGCCGCTGGGGGACAGGGGAGGCCTGTTAGCCGGACAGGGGGTTAGGTCTTTATTCTTCCAGGTCTGAGCTAGCACTGGAGGTGAGACAAGGGGAAGGGCCTGCTTGAGAGGTGCGTCTGTCTGGGGACCTGCAAGTCTTCGGTCTGGGCTGGGGTAAGGGGCTGGGAGGAGAGTGTGAGGCTGAGGGAAGACTGGCCAGGCCCCTGGGAGGCCGTGAGACACACACAGAACAAGAGATGAGCTCACGTGCAGGGCGGCACTTCAAAAACTCGAGAACACCTGGTACATGTGTTTCCTCTCAACTGTGCCTTTCTGCCTGGTACCCCCCACCCCCTACCCAAACTGGCTGTCCTGGAGCCTATGACTTGATTGTTTTGGTTATTTATCACCATGGAAGAACCCACTCCAAAGAATAATGGCTTAGCATAACAATCGTTTTATTTGCTCACGATTCTACAAGCAGGGCTGAGATCCCCTGGCCGGTTCTTCTCCTGCTGATTTTGTTGGGGTCACTGGCCTGTTAAGCTGGGGTCCAAGATTTGCTGGGCTACAGGATGGTTGAGCTTTTCTCTCTCCATATGGCCTATGGCTTCTCTACATGGTCTCACAAGACTCCACATGTGGCAGCTCCCTGCTCCCAAGATTGTGAAAGTGAAACTTACCAGGCCTTCTTAAGATGTAGGAACTGACCCTGAGCCACTTCTATTGTGTTCTGTTGATTAAAGCAAATCTGGATCCAATCGAGATCTGAAAAGAAGGGTGATAATACTAGGAGGTGGGTCGTGGGGGTCATCAATAGAACAGGACATCACACTGGCTGGTAGAGAAGGCTGCACATGCAAGAGAACTTCTCCTTCAACTACCTTCTTTTTTTTTTTTTTTAAGACTTTATTTATTTGACAGAGAGAGACACAACGAGAGAGGGAACACAAGCAGAGGAAGTGGGAGAGAGAGAAGCAGGCTTCCCGCGGAGCAGGGAGCCCGATGTGGGGCTCGATCCCAGGACCCTGGGATCATGACCTGAGCCGAAGGCAGACGCCCAACGACTGAGCCACCCAGGCACCCTCCTTCAACTACCTTCTTTATGGATCTCACGATCTGGCCTCTAGCACCATCGTCTCAGCAACCATCATAATGTAGCCCCTTAAAGTCATTTTTTAGGGTATATCACATTTGAAGACAGCGGTCAGGTACCCCTTGCTCCCCAGTAGTTAGCAAATGCCCTAATTCCCGCACAGACCCTTGTTCATCTCCATAGCTTAAGCCAGAGAATAATGGCGGAATTTTAGGCAGAGTGAGGCTGTCAGGGACAGTGACAAGAGTGGAAGGTTTTCCCTGCATCTCAAATCACAGCAGGTTGGCCATTCCTTCTGTGACCGCCAGACCCGAGGAGGATGGTTAGGAGAATCTTTCCTAAGCACTGTTCCATTACGAGCATTGGGTCAGAAAGAAATTATACAGTGAGGGCAATTTTGAAATGTCCTGGTGCAGAGGGTAGAACCTCCTTTCAGCCAAATTCCTGAGCATAACACCTTCTATGAGGTCACCTGCTGAGAGCCGATGGCCACTGAAGAAACTCTGCCTGAGAGTATTTTGAGTCACAGCATGCTTCTAAGTTTGACAAAGAAAGAATTTCAAGAAAATAGTGTTTTATATTATTTATTATTACTTATTCTATGCCAGGCACTAGTCTAAGTGTTTTGTGACGTTGACTCGCTTACTCCCCACCACAAGCCTGTAAGATAGTTACCAACTCCATTTCACAGATGTGGAAACTGAGGCTCACAGAGAGATTAAAGGGCTTACCCCAGGCCACTTAGCTGTAAGCAGCAAAGCTGGGCTTCAAGCCTGCCTTCACTGACAGTTACGGAGCTTTAAGGGGCCCTGTGTCAGGTCCTTAACCTTATTAGGAAACCTGGCTTTTTGTCTTTCTTCACCTGAGCAGGAGGGCTGATACCTTGAACCATCACTCAACTTTGGAAAATGTTGCTGCTTCTAAGAAGCAACTCGTTAGAGCATTTTTCTTGGCTTGACACTTCTAAAACCATGCTCTCTTTTTCTCTGTCTTCCTGTATCGTGTATATAATAATTACATATACATGTTACACATATATACATGTATATATTGAGAAACATAAAGTGTATTCCTAACTCAGAATATTTTGACTAACAGGTATGCAAAATACAATAAGAAATCACTTTTGGAATTGAACAGGAAACACAGGAAGGATTTCCTGCTTGGCTCAACAAATGCGATTGCATCCATAAATACAGCCACTGGCACTTTAATAAATAAAAGAATAAACACAGGACACGTGACTTCACTGGATGGCCATTTGCTGTTGCCAGATGCTGAGCTATGGACTGACATTAGATACGGATGCATAGAGCAGTTATCACTGCAATTAGCTGTCCGCAAACACTGGTATTTGTTGAGTAATAGTGGATGTTACCGCCACTGGACATTTTCCCTTTATGGATATCAGCCGTTGGTGGGGCTGTCACTGACGGACATTAGGTATCGATAGATATTAGGTATCAGTGAACATTTGCTCTCTCATGAGCATTAGCCAACACAGAACACTGAGCATTGATGCGCAAGGCCCTATTAGCCTATGATGACCTCTACTGTCTTGGTGGACATTAGGTAGGAGCAGAGGGTAGGCCTCTGGCCCAGGCATGCTTGGCGGTCTTGGGCATAGAAGCATCCTGTGAGCTGGTTTGGAAGCAGTTGGTGGGTGCTAGTATCTCAATCTTCATCTGTCCTCTCTGAGAGTCCTTTGGCCATGACAATTTGGGGATGTCAGGGGGTGGTATGATAACACCCATGGAGGGAAATTCCTGGATTTGAAAGAATAATTGGCTCCCAGAGGGATGACATTACATACAAATTTACACAGACTCTTCTGCCATCCTGACCAACACTGGGTGTTTGCCCCTTCCTTCTCTGTAAATGGTGTGATTAAAGCACAACGGGGCTGGCTTCGTGGGCAGTGGGACCTTAGAAGGGCCTTGGGCTTGGTTTAATGCTCTGCTCTTGCCATCTTGACATTCTCAATAATTTTGAATGAGTCTCCTTATTGTCATTTTACACTGGGTCCCACAAATTATCCTGGTCACCTGCCATGCGACCTTGGGCTGATCTCTGGGTCTTAGTCTCCGCATTTGTGAAATAGGGTCACGGGGCCGGGGAGGAGGACTTTGACTTTGATCTTCAGCTTTTCATGCTCAATGATGTAGAACCAGTGGTCTGATTGGAAGTACTTAGAATTGCATAACTTCCCTGATTTATTTTCAACAGAAAAGAGATGGAATCCCAGGTTTTTTTTTCGGTTTCTCAGAGCACCTCTGCTCTCTGACGTGTGGGATCTGCACAGCTGGGCCAGCCACTGAAGTAGGACACGCAAGATTGACTCACCATTGGTCAGATGAAGCCAGGCCCAGGCTGGTATCCTCATCTGTATGGTGACAATATTACCTGGGGCAGTTGTGGTGAGGAGGAAAATGCTATTTGCACACCAAGTGCACGGAACACGTGTCCAGTGAGTGGCAGCTGTATTGTCAGTGGAATGCAAGGAAATGTGTGGGAGCCAGTCTGTGCCATGATGACAAACTGTGCCTCAGTTGTCTGCCCATCCCTAAAACTCAACTGACGTGTGCTGAAGGCCTATTCTACGTTCGGCACCCAGAGCAAAGGTCCTGTGCATTAGAGTATTGTTCTGCAACTCTACAATCCGAAACCTTTATGACATTCTTCAGTCCTGAGTCAGTTATCGAAATATGAGTATAAGACTACCTGATTCTGTAATCTATTTCCTAATTCTGTGGTTCGATGAAGCTGGGACCAAGCATTTATTTGTGCCAGGCACGCACTGTGCTGGATTCTTTACAGACGTTACTTCATTTACGCATACAATCCCGTGGAGGGAGATATTTTCATCCCCCTTCTCCAGGCTCAGAGAGGTAAAGTGATGTGGCCAAAGTCACACAACTGGTTCGTGATGGACCCAAGATGTTTAATTAATCCTTTTCTGTGAACTCTAAAATGGAATCTTTGCGTTCATCTCTGTAATTCTGTAAGGTTCTAATGTCACCATTCTCGGCCCCAGGATCCCAGGAGGGCAGACTGTAGCAGCATGAAGACGGTGTGGCTAGGGGATGGAAGTGCTGGGCAGGTCTGCTTTGGCCTCCAGACGCCCTGGGCCTCGCTCCGCAACGCCTCAGACCGGGGGTGTCTGGCCATGTGCGGCCGCATGGTGGCGCTGCGGGCTGGGAGCCTCTGGAGCGGGGCGTGGATGCTGGGTTAGGTGAGGGCCGCCCGCCCGCGGGGCTTCTCCTCTCCCTAAGGTTCGCAGGAGGCCAGGGCTGCGGGATGTGCGGGGTAATGCCCCCCCAGCAAGCACGGTGTGACGGTCCCATCCTCGCCCACGGAGCTTCACCCCCGCCGCTTTTGCGGATGTGAAGCTGCAGCCCAGGGCAGAGGTGACCTGCCCCAGAACTCCCGTGTCTTCTGCAGGAGGGCCTGGCCTCCCCACCCTGCCTTTAGCACTGCTTTGTCCCCATTTTAAAGACACCTACATTCCATGTCCCCCCAACCCCCCCCCCCCCCACTTCAAGGAGGACTTCGGGAGGGCCCAGCCTCACTGGGTTAAAGTCCCTAGGATCCCTCCCCTGACCCTGCATTTGAAGGCTTTCTTGTCCCAAGGGATGAGGGACGGGTGCACAACCAGTCTGAGGACTGTGAGTGCCGGGCTCTCACCCTGATCCTTACTCCCATATTAACTGATGGGTGATAGCCTCCTGCTCATGGAGCCCAAGCCTGGGGATGGGGGCAGGGGTTAATCGACATGATGGGCAAGCTTCCCAGACATACCTGTAGCCTGAATGTTCTGGGTTCTGTACCATTGTTCACCCATGACCCCCACCTCCTAAGTGTCATCGCCCTCAGTCCAGGTTCACTGTCCTTCTCAGCTCTGTGGACCTGCCTCCTCCAGGAAGCCTTCCTATCCCCACCACAGGGCTCTCACAGCTCCCATGCAGCCTTTATGGTCAGGTATCTTCTGTGTGTCCTTCCCACTCACACCTCAAGAATATGAGTCCCCCGGCACAGAACAGATAGCAGAAAAAAGCTTGTCATTGTCGGTGATGACGCTGATGGATGTTCCCACAGACCTTGGCCAGTTAGAAGGAAAAACTTAGAGAGAGCAGAGGCATTCAGATGAGCTGCAAGCAAGTTCCTGGGGCTGGAAGTACGCAAACGGGAGTTAGGGTACCGCAGCAGTCAAAATGCAAAGCAGGAACCCCGCAGGTACTGCTGGAGCTGGAGCTCGGGAGGGAGGGGAAGGGGGGCCTTAGGGAAAGCTTTCTGAGGAGGTGAGGGAGGAACCGGATCTATTAGAGTGGGAAGGAGTTGAGCGGCAGGGACAGACCAAAGGGCAAGGCCCCTGAGGAACAGCCTGGGCAAAGGCAGAGGTGTGTTCCTGGAGCTGGGGCAGCAGGGAGAGGGGAGATGAGGCGAGACAGGGTACCAGCCACAGGGAAAGGAGCAACCACTCCGAGTAACTGCCTCCCTCGTGTCAGCTCACCGTCCAAATCCCACGAGGCTCCTGGGCTTTTCTGGGAGAACAGGCTGCCCAGGGCCTGGCCCATGGATGCCAGTCAAAGGATGGAAAGAGGGACTCTTTATAGTGTTTATTCAGTCAAGGACCAGTTAGGTGTAGGGTGGGGCAGGTGGGGGAGGACAGAGCTCTCCTTGTCCTGTCGGCATCTCTGTGGGACCAGCCCCCTGAGGCCCAATGGGCCACATACACCCCGGCTTCCACCCCACACCTCCTCCCTCAACGCATCCCCAGGACACAGTATTACAAAAGTTAACAAACGCAATGCTTTTCTTCTTTTTACAAATGACACGTTTCCATCCCCTGCCGGCAGGGGTGGGGGGTGGGGTGGTTGAAGGGACAGTCCATTACAAAGGCAACAACTTTTATAAAACAAAGACTAAGGAAAGAGCCCAGGGCTGGGAAGCTGAGATGCCGCCTGGGGTGGAACATAAACTCTGATGGGGGCACCTGCTTCCTGAAGGATGGGGGAGACAGGCTGTGGAGCTCAGGGCCAGTGGGGGAGGAATCCAGGAGGCCCCTGCGGGTTTCCAGGACTACATCGACTCCTTGCCGAGTCCATGAGAGGCAGTTTACCTCAGGGGTCAATGGATGAATTTCCAGTCTTGACGCCGGGGACCCCACGCCAGAGTGGGAAACTGCTAGGGCTTGGGACTGGCATGCCTGAAGCTTCCAGAGGCTCCACGGTGAACTGACATCATGTGCCACACAGCTGGTTACGGGGCCCAGAGTCCCACCTCCGAGGCCCTTGCCTGTCCTGGGAATGACAGGGAAAGGGTGCACATGGCAGGATGGAGGAACCCAAGAAGGGGACAGAGGGCATGATTTAGAGAAGACAGAAAAGTGCAAAGGGCCTCACTGGGAGGCAGGGTGCTGGGGCCAGCTACGCCTCCGCTCTAGTACCTCAGTTAGCCACATTCCTTCTCTAGACCTTAGTTGCCCCATCCGTCACATGAGGAGGCGCACTTGATTTTTTCTCTAGTCCCTTCCAGGACTAAGGTTCCACTCAGGGTTCTAGAGGAAAAGAAAAGGATGAGGTGGGTCTCATGTGCCCAGAGCAAAGAGGGGGGCTACCTCATAAAAGCGGCCCATGCCCCTGAGTGACTGGACCGTGGGCCCAAGGGGATGCTCAGCCGTGGGCCTGACCTCTGCCCTGTCGCAGCGGCTTCCTTCCAGCCTCCTCCTATCACGGGTCGGGCTGGCCCAGGCCTGAGGGAAGGCACTTTGGGGACAAGTGGGGAAGGACAGCAGGGGACTGCTGTCTGGTTTGGCATCGAAGACCTTCTACTTATGGTTTGGGGGACAACACAGACAGAGGGGCAAGACTTTGCTCCTGGGTGCTGGTCCCAGCTCCAAAGCCTCTCCCCAGGTCCACGGCTCTCTTCCGATGATGCTGCCACAGAGGCCTGCTGGGTCCCCCCAGCCCCCCGGCATTGGCACATGAAAATATAAGTTACCCAGGACCTGAGGGAGCCCAGGGCAGCAGTTCATTATGTGGCCCCAGGCTACGCCATTTGTCACAAAGTGTCGGGGCCCTTAGCAGCCGATTCCCGGGTGTCTACGCAGTGCAGGGCCACCTTGGGGCTGGAGCCAGGCTGCCGAGGGTAGGTGCCCTCCCACACGAGCCGCCGGCAGCGCACAGCCTGGCCCACGCTGATGCTCTGCAGTGCTGGCAGGTGGAGGAGCAACGTCTCGGGCAGAGGCACCAGGCCCGTGCCCGACAGGTCCAGCTCCTGCAGGGAGCCCAGGCCTGAGAATACCTCGGCTCCTGCCCACTTGAGCTTCGGGTTGCCTGACAGGTCCAAGACCTGCAAGCTCTGCAGCTCACGGAAGCCATGGGGCGCCAGCTGGGGGAGACCTTGCAGGCTGCCCAGGGACAGGTGCGTAAGGCCCGCCAGCCCCCGGAAGGCGCCCGGGCCAACGGTGGCCAGCGGATTCCCATCCAGGCTCAGGTAGCGTAGGGGCAAGTCCCGGAGGTCGGGGACGGCGCGGAGCCGGTTCCAGGCCAGGTTCAGGCTCTGGATGGTGGGCGTGGGCAGGCCGGCCCCCGCAGGGTGCGGCGCGAGGCGGTGGATGAGGTTGTGGGAGAGGTCCACGTGCAGCGCCCGGGCCTGGCTGTGGGTGCTGAAGGCGGACACCGAGACCTCCCGCAGCCGGTTGTGGCTGAGATTCACGTCGCTCAGGGGTGAGCTGGTGAAGCTCTCGGCCGGCAGAGCTGCCAGGCCGTTGTGGCTGATGTCAAGCGACTCCAGGTAGCGGAGGCGGGAGAAGGCGGTGGGCGAGAGGCTGGTGAGCAGGTTGCGGCTAAGATCCAGACCGGCCAGCGTGGTGTAGCCCGGCCCGGCCAGCACCGACTCGTTCACGGTCTCTAGCCGGTTGGAGGACAGGTCCAGGTGCGCTGTGTCCAGAGGGATGGGCACGGGCATGATGTGGGGGCCCAGGCCACTGCAATCCACGCGGGTCAGGCTGAAGCTGTCAAAGAGGCCGAAGGTCTCCACCTCGCACTGGCATCCGGGGAAGCATGGCCGGGTGCTCTGGGCCCCGCTCACAGCCAGCAACAGCAGCAGGGGCAGCAGCAGGGGCCACGGCATGGTGGGGGCTGGAAAGAGAGCCACAGGTGAGGGACGGCAGCAGGCACCCCATACCAGACGGTTCTCGCCCGACCACAGAAGCCACGAGCCGGTGCGTCTAGGCAGAGCTGAATGCTGCCACCACCGGTCCTGTCCTCCCGGGATGCTTCCCCCGAACACTCTTCCTCATATAATTCCTGCTCCCCGCTCCTCCCTGGCCTTAGTCTCTCTATCTGTGTGGTGGAGGGGTTAGGCCACGTGAGGGGAGCAGCCGAACGCTTTCTTAAAAAAAAAGATCAGCGGGTAAAAAGCAGGCATGCTCTGGCTGATGTGAGGGTGGGGACTTGGAACCTTCCAGGCCTGCTTAAGACCCTGCTGGAAACCTCCTGGCCTGGATGGGTCTTTGGCTGGCCTCTCCCGCTGATGGGCTAGGGTGCTCCACCCGCCTCGGCTGAGAAAGTGCTGGGTGCTGCGGACTGCGCTACCTGCCTCCCAGCGCGGTCCTACTTAACCCTCACAATGACAGAAACTGCAAGGTAGCTGTTTCTGTTGCCGCTTCACGAAGAGGGAACTGAGATGTAGAAGGTTCAGAAAGCTATGCACGGCCACACGTACGGGGGGAAGGACCGGGATGGAGTACAGAGAAGCATGACTCACTGTCATGGTGTGGCGGTGGCTGAGCCATGTCTGAGACCCACACTCCAACCCCCAAGACTGAAGCCTCTCCCTGCAAGGGGGGCCCCGCAGTGACCATCCCCACCCTACCCCTTTTGTGGATAACAACATTTCAGTCCCCAGTCTGGAGCCCCCTCCCTGGCCTGGCCTCCAGAGGCAGGATCCTTATTCCAGCTGGGGACCCTGTGTCTAGACGTCCAGATGGGCTCTGGGACAGCTGTCCCAAGCCCCTTCCCCCTTCCCTGTCCCCACCCACAGCTGATACAGCTATTACCCCTTGTTGGCCCTTTCTTTGGCGGAG